TCATAAGATTTATCAAATTAGGTTCTGCTTATTTCTACATTGGTATCACAGCTACAGTTGATCAAATAATTTCTTACCATCATATCATATACAAATTTCACTGAGACAATTTGTCTTTTTGCGCTCACAAGTTCACTGCCCAAGAGATTTATGAGCCAAAGAAATTTTACCCCATAAACAATCCAAGCACCCATTATCCAACCATTACTTTATTTTCTGCCATAAAAGCTAATTCGTTCTTTAACTATCTTCACTTTTCACAAGAAAGTTAGAATTGTGGAGGTTTTCTACCGACGGAACGGACTCAGTCAACTACTCTGTTTTTTATGCAGTTCGTGAGTTGCTCAATTTTATTGCTAAAAAAAAATATCAGCAAGGCTATTTCAGATTACATGGCAAATTTTCTATATATCACAAAAATCAGATTGTCGTTGCTGGACAGAACAATTGGTGTTGCAGTCTACTCGAAGCATTCTTGGAACCACACTTTGGTAACAATATTAAATCAGGTCAGTTCTAACTAATTTTACCTAGCAATTTATTTTTCTATAATTTCACAATATGGGGTCTAAAACTACTAGCGTAGAACTAAGCAAAACCGAGAGACTCAATGGTATAAATTATTCAACTTGAAAATGTAGGATCCGTCATATATTATTTTAAGATAAAGTTGAATATGTCATTGATACGTCATACCCAAAAGAACCACCTTTTAGAGCCGGAGAGGTTGCTAGAAAACCTATGAAAGATTTGCAAAGAACGATAAATTGGCTAGGTCAATCTTACTCACTTTCATGGAACCCTATTTAGAGGTTATTTTTGAGGAACATGAAACTGCTAAATCTATGTTTGATACTATTACACAAGCCTATGGTATTGTCTCTAACACATATATTCAACTCTTGATTGAAAAATATAATGACACTTTTATGAAAGAGGATGAGTCTGTTGTTGAACATGTCAATAAGCTTATGGTAATAGGTAAAGAGTTGACATCTCTAGGCAACCCAATTCCCGATAAAATATAAGTATTTACTGTTTTACATAGTTTTCCTAATTCATGGGAGTCCGTTGTGATTTCTTTGAATATGTCTGGTCAAGATTTAATAATGGCAAAGCTACCTTTGTTGCTAGACATTGAGGCCAAGAGAAGGGATAAAAAAAAACTAGTAATGTGTCAAACCTAGTTTCTAGTGCCCTATCTTCCCAATTTGTTACGAGTGCCCCATCTAGTAATCCAAGACAAGACAAACATTTTAAAAGGAACAATGAGAAATATAACAAGTTCAAGAGACATAATAATTTTAAGGGAAAACAAATAGGTACTTGTTATAACTATGGGCAGCCCGATCATTACAAAAGAAATTGCACAAAAAAGAATAATGGTCAAAATTTTAAATGATCAAGAGACATTGTGTGTGTGGTTTCTGAATCACTTCTTGCAGACTGTGACTCTCTTGCTTGGTGGATTGATTCTGCCTTTTCTCGGCATGTGGCTAAGACTAGAGATAATTTTGTTGAAATAAAAGAGGTAAAAATCGACGATCACAAGTTATACATGAAAAATAATACTTATCATGATGTCCTTGGAATTGGCACTATGAGAATTTCGTTGCCTGGGCAAAATAACCTCCTCTTGACTAATGTATTTTATGCGCCTAATATGCGACGCAATCTCTTTTCTCTGCCGCGATTAGATGATAAGGGTTTTGAAGTCCGTTTTTGGTCTTCTAAAGTTTCTATTGGTAAACATAGTCGTATTCTTGCATGGGGGACTAAAGTTGATAGTTTTTACCATTTGAATGTTGCTAGTGACAATAATAAAATTAATTATTCTTTTACTTATATCGATGTCTCTTGTGATATTAATGTTGAGTATATTTTATGGCATATGAGATTAGGTCATATTAATTATAATAAAATGAAAAAGATGACTAACATTGGATTGATTCCAAATTTAGATCTTGACTTAAAACCATGTGAATCTTATATAGGTGGAAAAATGGCTAGAAAACCATTTGAAAAATTAGAAAGAGCTAATGATTTGCTAAAATTAATACATTCGGATATTTGTGGTCCTCTAAATGTTAAAACCCATCGTGATATGAAATATTTTATTACTTTCACCGATGACTATTCAAGATACGGTTATATATATTTACTAAAGAAAAGATCGGGTGCCTTACAAAAATTTATTGAATTTAAGGCGAAAGTAGAAAACCAACTAGATAGAAAAATTAAAACATTAAGGACGGATCGAGGTGGTGAATACAAGGTTGAAATTTTTGAATCTTTTTGGAATAATACATCCATTAACAATTTCTTATACACCTCAACAAAACGGTGTAGCCAAAAAGAGAAATAGAACACTTCTTGACATGGTTAGATCTATATTTAGTCAGGCACATTTAAACACTATATTTTGGGGTGAAGCTATTTATATTCTTAATACAGTACCATCTAGAACAATAGGAATGACACTATATGAAATTTGGAGGTGTACAAAACCAAGTCTTTCTCACTTAAAAGTTTGGGGTAGTTCGACTCATGTTAAAATTTTCGGACCTAATAGAGGGAAATTAGATCCTAAAACAATAAAATTTACTTTTATTGGATATTGTAAAAATTCTATTGGCTATAGATTTGTAATTCACCATAGTGATGGATCAGTGGGAGTCATTAAAAGTAGAGATGCATTTTTCTTTGAAGATGACTTAGATAAAATTGAGAAAATGGTTGAATTATTTAAAATTACTAAGGAAAATAAAAATAAACAACCACAAGAGCAAATAATAAAAGAGCCTCCACCCAAAGATACTTTAACTAGAATACAAAGGGAAAGACATCTACCTAACTACTTAAAATATTATTATGCATACAATAGTGAAGAAATTTCAAATGATCCTATTGATTTTAATGATGCTCTAAATTCAATTGATCATCTAAAATAGAGAGAAGCAGTTAAAGAAGAAATAGAATCTATAGAGAAAAACAAAGTTTGAGAGTTAGTTGATTTACCAATAGATAGAAAAGCAATTGGGTGTAAATGGATCCTTAAAAAGAAATTAAAATCGGATGGATTTATAGATAAATATAAAGCTAGAGTAGTGGCTAAGGGATACACGTAAAAGGAAGGTATAGATTATGATGAAACATAATCTCTCGTATCTAAGTTTACCTTAATAAGAATATTAATGTCTTTGGTTGCATACTTAGACCTAGAGTTGCATCAAATGGATGTTAAGACTGCTTTCCTTAATGGTAAACTTAAAGAAGAAATTTATATGTATCAACCGCAAGAATATGAAGTTGAAGGTAAAGAAGAAAAAGTGTACAAATTGAATAAATCCTTATATGGCTTAAAACAATCCTCAAGGCAATAGTATCATACTTTTCATAATGCAATTATATCTTATGATTTTGTTCCAAATAACTATGATCATTGTATATATACTTAGAATAGTGGAAGTTATTATATTATTCTTTCCTTGTATGTGGATGATATTTTACTTGTCGGAAATGATATAAATAGAATCTTAGAACTAAAAGATTAGTTAAACACCAAGTTTGAAATAAAGGATATGGGTGAAGCACATTATGTATTTGGAATTAAAATTTTTAGAGATAGAAAACAAAGAAAATTGAATTTGTCTCAAAAATCTTATTTAGAAAATATTTTAAAGAAATTCAAAATGGATTCTTGCAAACCTATTGAATCACCCATTTACAAAGGAGCAAAATTGTCTAAGAAAATGGCTCCTAAAACTGAAGAGGAAATACAAGAAATAAAATATAAACCCTACGCGAAAGTTTTTGGTATTCTTATGTATGCTATGTTAGGCACTAGACCGAACCTTAGCTATGTTTTTGGTTTGATTAGTCGATATCAAAGTAATCCGGGTATATCTCATTGGTTAGCTGTGAAATGTGTACTTAGACACATACAAGGTACATTAGTTTTTTTTTTTTATCATATCAACCTGATGATATAAATGTTAATGGTTATTGTGATGTTGATTTTGCTAGTGATATTGATGATAAAAAATTCACCATGGGTTATATATTTGTTTTCAGTGGTGGTGCTATTTCATGATCTAGTAAAAAATAAGGTTGCATAACTAAAAGTACTATGAAAGCTTATTAGAGGACAGCCTGACTCCAATGATTATGACCAAGATATCAGTGATTCTCCACAATTGTACCAGTTTGTTTTCCTTGTATATTTGTTTCCATATTTGTAATTGTACAGCTACTATGTATCTTCTATCTATAAATAAATATCTCCTCACAGCATATTGGCTTGAGGCATTTCCTTTACATGGTATCAGAGCCAATAGGTCAACCTTTTGTTGTTTTTTTTTTCGATGGCCGAATCCAACACTTCTTTGTTTCCGCTCAATACAATGGTTCACATGGTGACCATCAAACTCACTCCCACAAATTATCTCTTGTGGCGTCATCAGTTTGTTCCCCTGCTTGAAAGTCAGGATCTTATGGGCTATTTGGATGGGTCTTTGTTTGCACCCGCTGCTCAAGTCCGTGATAGAAATGATCTTTCTCCTAATCCTGCCTACAAGAAATGGCACACATAGGATCGCATTTTACTCAGCCTTCTGTATACCTCTCTCACTGAGGAATGTATGGTTGAAGTCGTTAATTACACTACAACTCGTGATGCTTGGTTGGCCCTTGAAGTTTCTTTTTCTCATAGTTCAAAGACCAAAGAACTCCAACTGATGCAGTGCGGCTCTCGTGGTGTTGCTGAATATGCATGCTCTTTTCGATCATTATGTGATCAGCTTAGTGCTATTGGCAAACCAGTTGATGACACATATAAGGTACATTGGTTTCTACGTGGCCTTGGTTCTGATTTTAAAATTTTTTCAACCTCCATCTTGTCCCAATTGTCGCTGCCCTCTTTTGCCAATCTGGTTCCGAAAGCTCTCAGCCATGACCTTTTTTCTCGGTCAATCCTGAGGGATTCCTTTTCCTAGTCGGCT